ACATAACCATAACGACACGAGCAGAACTAAAACACAGAATCGCTACAATATATAAGTAAAAGGCTAGCTACATGTAAAAGCTAAAAATATCAAAACAGAAACTAAAAGCTAAAAGTAGCAAAATGCTAGCTAAAGCTAAAGTAGCAGAAGCTAATCTAAACATAAAGGCTTGCTGAAAACTTTAAGTGGCATAAAAAAACAAAAACAGAGGAAGTTTGCTGAAGCATTCACACAGTTACATGAAAAATACACATTATTCGTCCACCTTATCAGGACTTTCCTCTCCATCCTCGTCCACAAAGGTGAAGGACTCCCAGCTGATTTTGGAGCCTTGGTCCGGTGAACTTTGACCTCTTTCAAACACTCGCCTTTCTGCAGAGAGCCACCAGTCTAAGACGGCCTGCAGCTCCGTCCTCTCAATCGAGCCGAGAAGAATCATGGATTCTGCAAAAAAATCAGAACAATGTTTCATATTCGGTAACCTTTTATATAAAGATATTGACTTTACTCTCACAGCTGCTAGAAAGAGTTTAGCTTAGCATAAAGCCAGGAAACTGAAGGTGAATTAGCTTGAAAAACACACATTAAGTCTTTTCATTAACTTTGTCTAATCCTTTAACACTAAGCCTTTAAAAGGGAAGCTGCAGGCTTAGGAACCAGTGTAATGATGTCGGTCGACCCACCTTTGGAGTCGACAAGCGGGATGGTTTTCAGAGTTGTGTTCTCTAACAGGTGGTTTAGTTCCCGAAACGTGGAGTGAGAGGATAAGAATTTCACTTTACGCACCATGATGTCCTCCACAAAGATGTTATACTTGCTGTGAATGCAGTAACACAACAATAAATTCCTTCCGCAAGAAAAAGCTCCGCCGAGAAGCAAAAGCGAGGTTTTGACTTCACCTGATGTGTCCAAGAGCCAGCTCAGGAAGGTAGGGCAGCTTCTTCACCTGGATGATGGAGTCGTAGAGAGAAGGCTGCAGACCCTGTGCCACCATGTTGGCCAGGATGACCGCCACCATCATAGGTAAGATGTGGGAGATTTGACCCGTCAGCTCGAAGCAGATGACCGCCGTGGAAACGGTGTGTGTGACGGCGCCTGTCATCGCTGCCGCTCCTGACAGGAAAATGTCAAAATAAACATCAAACCCAATGAGCCAGCAGTTTTTCGCTCCACACGGGTCATAAACATTTACCCAGTATGGTAAACCTTCTAACGATAAATGCTGCACAAATTTGCATCTATTTTTATCATTTGTTTGCTGCTTTTTAAACTTAGCAACATTAAAAGAAAACTAGCATACCTTAAAGCAGGGGTGCCCAAATTTTTCCCTGAGACGGCCAAATTTAAAATCTATCAGAGGGCTGCGGGCCAAATGCAACAATATAATACATGAAATGCAAATACTTCTAAAAAGTCAATGTACTTATACTTACTTATATAACACAGTTATTTAACCTTCCATTCTGTATAAAGAACATTACAGAACAGACTGTGTTGGTGGTGGTGGGGGCAGGGTTCTGGGGGTCCTCCCCCAGAGAATTTAGATTAAAGTAGATGCCATTTCCTGCATTCTGGTGTATTTTACAAAGGTTTATTACAGTAGATTAACATGAAACAAAAGATGTAATCTCTGTTATTATTGAAATCTCTCTGACTGCAAAGCATTCAAGCAACACCGCTGCAGCTCTGCAGGTAAGGGGTGTTCACTTCAGGACAAATCGAGGTTGCTGATTGGTCAGTTGCTGACGTGCTTACTGGATCGATTGACAGGTGGTGGGTCTTATGCAAAAAAAATCATAGATTTTATTGGTCTGCTTGTGTCTTTCATCATTTATTCCATATTTATTCAATATTTTGGTGATTCTAAGATTTGAGAACTGTTTCCTTACACAATTCTAATGATGGTTTCTTTATTTTTCAGGGGTGTTGAGTTTAAATGTAAAGAGGCTAAAATCATCACTGAAACCAGTTCATATTTATAATTTACTTTTAAACACTTGGTGTGATTTATAAATGTATTCTGTCAAAGGAAAGTGTTTTCACTTATCGCGGGTCTTCAGGGGTACAGATCCCCCGCGATAAACGAGGGACTACTGTATTTGTGCTTGTGAAAATCTGCTCATATCAAATATTTACTTTGTGTAAATCTACAGTGAAACCCTTCCAAAGATCTTAAAAAAGTTACGTTGTCATCAATTTGGAGACTAACCAATGACAGCGTAGCCTCCTGGCAGGATGCGGTACACTATCCCATCAAACAGGATTCCGTTCGGGAAAAGAGTGGCCATGATCTCACCGACGAGTCGACCAAAAGCAGCTCCTTAAGAAGGAACAGATAAGGCACACAGGTGAGGATGAGTTGCTCAGTGGGTGATATTGCGCTCGTGCGACAAAACCCTCTTACCTAGAATGAACACTGGCATGAAGGCACCGGAGGGGATGGGCATCGTGGTGGAAACTGCTGACATCCAGAACTGCAGCACAAAAACAGGATCAAAATAGGATCAAGCCCAGTCCCGGTGGGTTTCCATAAAGGCAATGAACACCCTGCAGCAGACGCAGACTGAAGGAGGGTGAGATACCTTCATGATGAAGAAGAGGAGGAGGATGACGAAGACGCTGACACTAGGGTGAAGCCAGGCGGAAGAGCGGCCGAGGCCAGGAGGAGCCGGGAGCTCTGAGATTTTGGTCCAGGTGAAATTATCAAACAGAGAGTTGATGCACTCTCTGGGCATGAGCTGTCCGAGGAGAGAAACAGAAGAAAAAACGTGTCGCCATGAGTTTAATTCAGTAAGCTTGAAACCGCTCTTTATACCTGAAGCAGTTTGCTTCAAATGGGCCAAAACTTCTTCTTTAAAGAATGTTGTGGCTCTGTAGGCTTCCTGAACATCTTGTTTTTATTTAAATTCAAGCCCAGTTCACTTCTTTTAGGTACTGAAAGGATTCCAAACTCAAAGAATCAACCAGTGTCAGACATAACAAACATCTTACGAAGAACGTTTTTATATTTATTTGCATCCAAACAGATTTATCCATCCATTATCTTTACCTGCTTCTTCCTTTTTAGGTAGCGGGGGTCACTGGTGCCCATATCCAGTAGTCACTGTGCGAGAGGCGGGAGACACCCTGGATAGGTCTCCAGTCCATCACAGGGACACATAGAGACAAATGAGACAAACAACCATTCACTCTCTCACTCACACCTAGGGACAATTTAGAGTTACCAATCAGTCTAACGCATGTTTTTGGTCTGTGGGAGGAAACCGGAGCACCCAGAGAAATGCACAGAGAGAACATGCAAACTCCACCCAGAAAGGCCCCCAGACCGCAATTTGATCCGGTGACCTTCTCTCTGAGAGGAAACAGCTCTACCAACTGATCCACTGTGCCGCCCAGAAACAGATGTATATATATATTTTTAATATTTTTAGTTTAATTCATTAAATCTGTTTGACTGTCGTTGCGATAACCGTTTTGTGGTAGTTTGGGACCAGCAACGTAACTCTAAGAACTTTTAGCTGTAAACATGACATTTGGTGGAATGACGCAATCACATTTCTTTAAACAAAGACAAGTGAAGGAAGCATCAGGCCTTAAAGGGATTATTCAGATTTATTTCTTTGAACAGGTGCTTATTATCTTATCCACTGTAGCTGAATGACCTTAGTTTGAAAAAAAAAATGGAGTTTAATTCTTACTGGAATTGAACTGTCGGAGCTAAAGGCTAACGGCTGATCCAAATAGGGCCGTGACCAAAGTGCATAAAATGGACATGTTTTACCCACCGAGTTGCTTTTATATTTGAAACTGAGGCTTTCCTTCACCCCAAACGTGACAAAAAAATACACAATCCACACTTCCCTGACCCTCTAAAAAAACTCCCCATAAATAGTTCTTGAGAAATAAAGTCTGTGTGGAACTGATTGAGTCTCACCTCTCCAGCCATAAACTGCCCAAACCCAGGGGGAAACGTGAAGGTGGCGATGATTAGAGTCACTGCACCTGGATAGATCAAACGACTGGGAGTACACACACACACACACACACACACACAAACACTCATTAAGAGGAACAGTGCATTCTCAGAGACCAACAACATTGTTTGCAATAAAAACAAGCGTTTGGGTTTGTCCCACAATGATTGTATGAGCCTGCTGGTGCTGCAACTCGCTTCTTTCTAATGGCCAAGTCTAATGTTGCCTGACTCAGTCCCTGTGGGTAAGTGAATCTCCCCATTGAGCGAATAACTGGCTGAGAGGTTGTTAAGGCTTCTGCAGCTCTCTTGGCTGGTGTTGTGAGACTGATGAGTTTGGGGAGTGGAGCTGAGGACACATTAGGAGGAATTGGATTTAAATGCACAAATGGTTTCCGTTTTAGGGAACCAGAATAGTGGGGCTTTAAGAGCCGAGCGTTGTGTTAATTCACAACAGCAGAAAGAGCAAAGCAGCGCCTGGATATGTAGCTGATGTATGTATGTATATGTATGTGTGTGTGTGTCGGGATCTTACTGTTTGGTTAGAAAGCGAGTGAGAGCCGTCGGTCTTCTCATAAAAAGAACCACCTGTCTGTTCAGGTAAACAAAGAACGCTCCCAGGAAGCCACATGAGATCCTAAAACAAGGAAAGAACTGGCTCTTCAGACTGTTTATACGAGTTCATCAAGAACAAAACCATCATTTGTCTGCAGCCAAAAGCTGAATAAACACAGACCCAACGTTCCAGTTGATGAAAAGCAGCAAACCAAGTCGATAAGCACACAAAATGTTCAGGTACTCACAAATATCCTCACCCTATTATTGCAAAAGCAGGAAGCTCCTGCAGGTCAAAGGGGAAATCCATCCGGAAGTTGGTTTTGAACAGAGCTGTGATCGTGACTGAAAGTAGAAAAAACAAGAGCACCACATGCGTCACATTATACTGACTATTATGTCAGAATTATTATGTGTATCGTATTGAGCATTGTATTGTATTGTATTGTGTGTATGGTATTGTTTTGTTTATTGTATTGTGTGTATTGTATTGTATTATTATATGCACAGTATTATTATTATTATTATTATTATTATTATTAATTATTGTGTTCTTTGTTTAAAACAGATCTCTCATGTAAATGAGTTCTCGTGACTCAATGAGACTAACTTGTATAAATAAAGGATGAATGAATGAATTACTGGTATACAGCAATCTATAGCAATGGCTCGGACAAGCAAGGGCCTGATATAACCTTTGACCTTGATTTGTGACCTTGACCTTAGAGCTGGGGAGATGAAAAAAATTACATGACACGCAGATCGTACAAATGTGTATCAAGCTTAGTTAAATTATCTTGAGCAGATCAGAAGGTATGGCACACAGACAGACGGCGACTATACATCAACAGCAAAATGTGGGTGGAAAAGGTGAAACACCCACACCTGCCTCCACCCTCATTTGCCTCACTCTGGGCCCATGAGCAAGGCTCTTAACCCCCACCATCTGCTCCCTAAACAGGTCTCTCTTGAAAATGAGTTCTCGTGGCTCAATGAGACTACCTGTATAAATAAAGGGTAAATGAAATGAAAAAAATACTATAGTACTTCTGCCTTTTGACGGGTGTATAATAATAATTTAAAAAAGTATAGTTATTTGTTCATTTCTGAAACGCTGTTTAGTCTGTTTTTAAATATTTTGTAGACAAAAACAGATTTTCAGACACTTTTTGAGACACGTCGGCATCAGAAACAAGACGATTTGACTTTTTTTAAACTATGCTGTAGATGTGTTAGAAATAAAAATAAATACTCAAAATAACCTTCCACTGGAGATGTGTTCATGTCCAGCTAATCAAGATATTCATCGTCTTTCAATTCCTCTTTTTGAGGCAAATATAGTTTTTGTCAGAGTACATACAGAAGTATACCCAATGTAGTCTAAATGTTAAAATAAAAATCTGATATGTCTGACAACTTGAGTGCAAGGAAGCCCAGATGTATATTTAGTTGCAGAATAAATGATGACACACAGTAAAATCTATGATTTTTTTGCACGAGTCAGATCCTTGACACCATCTGTCAATCAATACAGTAGGTTTGTCAGTAACTGACCAATCAGCGACCTCAATTTGTCCCAAAGGTAAACGCCCCTTACTTGCAGGAGCTCCACCCCTTTTTCCTCTGACAAACTTCTCAGGGTTTTGCTTTACGGACACTTTCTGGTCAGAGGGATTTCATGAAAAAATTGTCAGAAAAATCATTAAACGTTGTTGGTGGGAGAAATGTGATTCAGACACGTGTTACCCTGAGCGTTCAGAGGGTGGAATACAGTTTTTTTATATTTCACAAACTAAATGGAGTCTGGAAAAATGTAAAAGATGGATAAAGCCCTGCGGCCAACCTCATGAGCACCTGAACACAATAGTGATACGCAGGAAGTAGCTACAACATGTTCATCTGTACGAAGGTAAATGTCAGTAAATACTCCATTTTTTGTCATAACTACATTAAGAGTTAAATTAAGGGTTAATGCTTAAAACTAGTTGTGTTTTGTTTTATGTGTTTTAATTGTAGATATATGTTACAACTTCTGGTTGCATAAATGTAGTCTTTGTTTTTTATGATCAGTTAACACTAAACTGATTTTGTACAAAGTGTTTATTAGGTTGTGTAATGTAAAGTGGAGGTCTGTAGCATCTTAGCTAGTACGTCTGTATTGCATGCCGCTAGCTTAGCGCTACGTTAGTGCCAGCGTTGGGGGTAGTGGTGGTGGTGGTTGGGGGGGGGGGGGGGGGGGGGGGGTTGGTGTGTGTGTGGGGGGGGGGGGGGGTTAAAAATGCATGAGAGAAGCAGAGTGTGCTCTATCCACACAAGGAGACCTGTTGGTCAGGCTACTTCTACTTTTTGCTGAGCTCTCTAAAATAGTTGTTGAATCAAGTGTTTACTTATGTAGGTAAACGTAGATGTTTAACAACCTGTTAAAATACAACAGAATGCAGGAAATGACATCTACTTTATACAAAATTTTCTGGGGGAGAACCCCCAGACTCCCACCAGTGTGTCCTCCGACATTACAAATGCTTCTGATGCCAATGTCCACCACACTGATCAAGCCAAGAGCCATTATCAACAATAGGGGCTGAGTACCCCTAAAGGTCAGATTCTAGAATCACCCCTGGTTGGTTTATGACACTGAAGTTTACAATTTCTGTTAGTTTTTACTTCTTCCTAGTTTTAGATCTGATCGCATCTCAACTCCCTGAGTTGCAGCGGGAGCAGAAAGCTTCTCCAGACAAAGCAATCCAAAAATATTAAGTTTTTAGCCAATCCAAAATGGGATTCATTCATTCAACCTTTATTTATACAGGTTAGTCTCATTGAGTCACGAGGACTCATTTTCAAGAGAGACCTGTTTTAGACACAACTCACAGATGAGGTACAGACAACAATAAACGGTCATAGAAAGCATTTAAAATGAAAAATAACTAAAAGTAGTGATATAAAACAAAACTAAAACAAGCTACATTATGAAACGGGGTAAAATACTAAAAACAGGAACATGTCTGCGTTGATTTTTGAATTGAACTTAACAATTGTTTAAAATCTCTTAGAGCGACACGTTAAAAATGGAATAAGACAAGGCTCAACACCGGAGACTCATTCAAGTTTAAAAAAAGAAGAAGAATTTCCTGACTCATGTCAAGGTGAACGATCCTTTACAGGAAAACCACATAAACTTCATTTGTGGAAAAAAAAAAAATTCACATGTGAAAATGTGTTGGATAAACATGTTTAGACATTTTTATTTCAAATAAAAAACAAATTCCACATGTGGCAAATGACACCATTTTATCAGTGAAACAATGTGAAAATAACACGTGAAATGCATGATTTTGGAAATTTTACTGAAAAAAAAAACCCACATCATATTCGTGCGCTTTTTTAAACTGAGCTGCAGGTTTAATTTGGCAAGTTTTGAAAGAATAGTTATTGTTTTAGCATCAGTGTTTGAGGTGCTGCTAATGTCAAAAACCTCCACAGAAAACCCAAAACACTACATATTTTTTTCATTCTAACATGAATATTTTTATTAAGACTGATTAGTGTTTAAAACAAACCAATATGTTTAATATTTTATATGTTAATAGAAATAAATGCTTTGTCTGTTGTCAGCTGTGATAAAGGATAGATGTGAATTTCGAAGCAAAGACATTTATGTGCATTTTTTTTTTGCATAAATGTGCACTTTTGATATATTTTCTTGAAGAAACTATCTTTTTAAATAGCATATTTTAAAATGCATACAGTATTTTCAGAATATGTACATAAACTCTTATTGTGCTGGCAGTGGTGAGGTTTTCATGCCACAGTTTGCTGCAGCAGAATTGCTTTTATACTCGGAGTGATGACTGTAAACATTTCTGGGTTATCTAAAGAAGCAAAAACTACTTAGCTGCCACGTTCGATGACTTTAAAATAAAATGTAAGCTCAGCTGTCTTTGCCAGCTCGTGTGGATGTGTGTGTGTGTGTGTAGGAGTGTGTTTTACAGTGAATGTGTTGCTCACCAGCATCCTTGTTCCAAACAGAGAGCACCCTGAATATGAAGGCGCTGAACGTGGCAGCGAAGTATCCCCGCCAGTAATTCCTCACAGCAAAGTAGGTAGACGTGACCTCAATACTGAACAGCACCCCTGGTGATGGAGGGAAGGAGGGGGCGGAGGGAGAGGAGGGGTTGCAGAGAGAAAGAAAATGAGGATGGATGGAGAGAGAAATGAAGAAAGAGAGCCAAGACAAAGATTAGTTGGAAAAAAGCAGAGTGAATCCAAAACTAGGGTGTAATTACACACAACGGGAGAACCAGGAGGGAGGTAAAACACACTCAAACATAAAGTAAATACACACTTTCTGTCTCTGTCAAACACACACAAAGGCCTGATGTGAAGATAAAAACACAAAACTGAATAAATCCAGTTGAACCAAGTTTAAAGGTTAAATCATATTTAGACTGACAACATGTGAGCAGCTAAATCCAGAGTATGTGGCAGGTTTTAAATAATTTCTGACTTGGGGACTGTCCAGACGTTTCATCCATTTTAGATAAAAAGATCTTATCCACCTTCTAACGACGAGGCGTGTAATCAGTCCTGATTTCACTCTGCCGCTCTGCAACGTGCAGCCCAAGTCCCAAAGAGTTCTGAAGAAGAACAAGCAGGAGGAGGAGGAGCGCTGCAGCGAAGCTTTTGTCTGTTCTGCACAATAATTAACTCTAGGAATGCCCGTTATTGATTTTGTTCTCATCGCTGATTAATTTGTAAAACTGGAAGAATAATAATAGGGAAGTTCATGGACGTTGACTTCTTCAAAGCTCATGTTGAGTCTCAGAAATAATCCAAACTTGTTTATGTTACAGATAAAAAAAAAAGCAACAAATTACAGTGAATTCTCACATTTATGCAGTCTGAGGGGCAGATATTTAGCATTTTAGTTTCATATGACTGAACTGACAGTAAAGGGGAAATAAAGTATTTTAAAGCCAATATAAACTGAAAAAAGTAATAAAACGTGCTTGTTTTCAGAATTTTGTATTTGAAAAACACTTACTGTATTTTTCAGACTATAAGGTGCAATATAAATGAATGGGTCTGTTTTCATACATAAGGTGCACCGGATTATAAAGCGCGTTATGCGAAATACGTTCATTTTGACAAATTTTTGAGCGCCGTGTACCATATAAAATCAGTTCAAGGTCAGTAAGCACAACCAGAATTAATACATAAGGTGCATTAGATTACAGTAGTCCCTCGTTTATCGCAGGGGATCTGTACCCTGAAGACCCGCGATAAGTGAAAAACCACAAAGTAGGAATATGATAAAATGGGGTTTGTGTTTGTGTCGGCTCTGTGATGTAATGGTGATCTATCCTGGTCGTACCCAGTCTCCTGCCTGCTGACAGGCTACCATCTGGATCATGATGCAGATTTTCTCGATAAATTAGACTTCTTGTTGTTGGTCTGACGTTTCATTCACATAAAATACTGCTTATGAGTAGATGATTTGTTTGTTTCATTATCTTGAAATGCACCTTGGAGCTAGAACCAGGCTAACTTACTTTTTAACCAATACTCAAATTGCTAAAGAAGGTACTCACTTAAACAACTGAATTTTCTATAACCGCTCTTCTCTAATAAACAGTGTATGCCATGGTGACTTCAAAAACATGAGTGACCGTTTGTTATTTTACACGTTTGTTTGAATTTAGATTGTTCTGATTTGTTGTGCACCCAACAGCAACTGTCAAAGGACAGCAGGTGAGACTTCATGAAAGTGAGCCAGAGTGAAGGTTGTACAGTACCTCCTAGTGGAGTGCCGAAACAGCATCCCACCCCCACGGCACAGCCGACAGTCAGTATATCTGTGTAACCGTAAGGGTTCTACTGACACAGAAAACAAGAGGAGGAGGTGGGAGATGAAGGGGTGAGACAGGGAGTGAGACACATTGAAAGGGGGAATAATGATGCCATGAAGGCAGGTGGAGACAGACAAAGTGAAAGATCAAGGTGGAGAGGACGAGACGGGGAGAACAAAGTGGAATAAAGTGAATAAATAATACTCAGGGTGTGCGATTTTAAAAAGTGGCAAGGACAGAGAACATGTTACTTCAAGAAGACATAAAGAAATGGATGCACATGCCAAAAGGAGGAAGCGTTAGGCTAAAACCAAACCTGAGCATAATCTTCTAATTTAGATCCTGGCAGCTGGTAAATCAAAAAGTAAAATTAGAAATTGGACAATGGATTAAAGTATTTTTCACAACTTCTTAATAAAGATTAAAATAACGTGTGCGTTTTGATATTTCACTTATTTTTAAAAAGTTAGGATGTGACAGTTTTAATTCTACTTGTCAGAACTATCTAAATAATTCCGAGGCGATACCTGAACACCAAGAACAAATACCACAGCTGTAACTGTGTGTTTTTGATTAGTTGTGGTCGTTTACTGTTACGTTCTACTCATTTTTGTTATGAAAATAATTTTATGGGAAAACTATTGTGTTAGAATCTGTTTCTTGTGTATAATTAGATTTTTGTGTGTGTGTGTGTTCTGTTTTCTCTGTGCCTTCAGCCACTTCTCAGCTCTACTCTTTCCTGCCTACTCTCACCAGTTGTCATTATGCCAGGTGTTTCAACTCCTCACTTCAGCCCCAGACTATAAAATCTCTCAGTTTTTACTAAATCCTCTTGAGTCAAGCACCGTTGAACTTCAAATCTCATCCAGCCCTCCTTGTGGTTCCTCATGCCAACCTGTGAGTCCTTGTGCCTTTTAATGGTTCCTTGTTAATCACTGTGATTCCTTGTGGCTCTATGTGATTCCTTGTGGCTCCATGTGATT